CTGGCACCCGGTGCCGTGCTGGCCCGAGCGAACCACTCTATAACTCATGATCGTTCGACCAAAAATAGAACATACATAGGTCGAGTTAGCTGGACTCATTCCTTTTCTAACTATCATGGGCCCACATGGCCACAACTCATAATATATAACTATAAGTGGGCAACACTATCACTGAAATATTTTTCTTAAAACATGAATACATATGGGCCGTCAAGACCCCTGACATACTATACAAAATGAACCTCTGTCTACAAAGCCTCTAAGATTATTTAACATCAAATGGGATAGGGTACTGGCCTACCCATAAGTCCGTAGCAGAACTCTAGCACGATGAGTCATAGACTCGGCTGCACTCCGAATGAGGTGGAGTCTTACCGATCCTTCGCTGAATGCCAATCTCGTCTACTATGAGGGCTCGTCAAACTGATTATCTATACCTGCAGGCATGAATGCAATGTCCCCAACAAAAGGACGTCAGTACGAATAACGTACCGAGTATGTAAGGCATGTCAATCAGTATATAAAGGACATGGAAGAAACATGGAGCAAAAGGACTCAACCTGTAAGTCTGGATAGCTCTGTAAATCATGAAATATTTATAATGTCATGCATATATGTATAAATGTCATGTAATGCATAGGTCTGTACGTACATAACATCATCAAGCCTCTGAGGGCATCCCATCATATCATTTCAGCCACTGTGGGAAATATCATCATCGTATACCAGCTAATCAAGTGGTGGTGCGTATATAATGCCATAACCTTTCCCATATCCGATATATATATATATATATACGCGTATATAATGCCACCTGGTCATGGGTCAATGTGCATGCATGGAATGCATATGAAATACGTTAATAAAATCTCTCGGTACGTCATAAGACTTATTATGCCTCTGATTAATATCATGAAATAAACTTTACCAACTTACGTATTTTTGAGACCCATGAACAGATGATAGAATAATATGACACATGGGGAATCAAGAACATAAGCATCTCTAGTATTTCTATGAATAGAGTCATTTATGGAAGTTTGCATTTGCCTCATGCCAAAAAGAAAGAAGGGATAGCCCGGCCTCACACAAAAAGATTTGTCTAGGCAATCTCAAAGAGATTTTCAATAAGTCAATACCAAGATTTGCTTTCTGCGCCTACTGATGTGATGATATTTCAGAAGCTTTTTTGCAAAGAAGAAGGGCCCTGTTCCTATGGGTTCACGTGCTAAGGTTCCACTAAAAAATGTTCTTTTTCAAGAGAGAGGTTTAAGGCGCATTAATCACGCCTTGAAGGTAACATACCTGTAAGCTTTAGCACTCGTATCAACAACCACCTCTTGTATAACATCTACACTTCTTCTCAAAATACTTCACCTCCTCTCGAACAACATTTAAGCTTTTTCTCAAACACTCGCGCAACTTTTCCAGCAGAAACTCAAGAAACGATCTAACACTCTCAAAGGTCACCCTCCCAGTCAAATCAAGAATAAACCTCTTATTCTTGGGTACTGCCAAAGTATAAGATACTTTATTTGTCCACCCACTGCACATGTTCTGTTCTTCATCCATAAATTATTAGGCTTTTAAACTAAGTGGCAAAGAAGAAGAATACATTTTTGAAGTGGTACCATCCATAACCATATCCTTACTTGTCAAAACTTGATGAGTTTTGACAAAAGTTCCAATGGCACCGCAACATATTGCCACCTTAACAAATGCATTTAAGAGTCATCAAATTTAGCAAGATTTGATGCCACGTGAAAGACTAATTAACCTTATCCAAATAATCTAATTAATTAGTTAATCTTACACTAAAATCATTAATTATCCAATTATCCACATAATTAAGAATTACCTCAAATTACTTAAAATATTACTTACTTTTAACACACTTTATGTACCCTACCATCATGGTTATATGGTACCATATAAAATAAATACATAGACAATTATTTTATTAAAACATCCATATAAAAATATATATATTTTCTCAACTTATAATTTTTCTAATCTCATCTAAAGAGTAAAAATTCTCGTACGCTTAATTCTTAAAATGGTAAAAAGATAACCTTCTTTTCTTGTGAAAAAATAATAATTTTTATCTTTACAATAAATAAAATCTCATAAACTTTTCTCATATTATGTGTATAATTTAAAACATAACCGAAAGTAGTAATAATAATAACTATATAAAATCATATTTTTCAAACTATTTTTTTCTTTACAAAAATGTTCCACTCAAAATACCGTATATATATATATNATATATATATATATATAACGGTATCAAGATTGTTAAACTTACGGGGTGTAACACAAGTCAACGCCTTGCTACTATAAGGAACAAATATATTGATGAGCTAAATTAATTTTCGTTTGACTTATTGAATAACTTGCTAATTCACTTTGGTTGGGGTAACGAGAGAAAATAATCTCCACAAAAATTTTAACATTGTTTTATATATAATATCTTCTAGAAATGCAAGGTAAGACTGCATACAATAGACCCTTGTAGTTCGGTCCTTCCTCAGACCCTGCGCATAGCGAGAAGTTAGTGCACCGGATGCCCTTTATCTGGTTTGATTTTTCTTTTCCTCATAAAATTTAGCATAATTTATAATGTGGGTTGAAATAGAATGTGGAATAATAGCATGTTTGGCCAAGCTTCAAAGTAGGGGTGTGCATATATCGGGTAAAATCGATAACCCGAGCCGTTAATTATTTATTGGGTTATCGGTATTGGGTTAACTTTTCGGTAACGGTTTAGAATTTTTTCATTATTGGGTTATCGGTTCGGGCTCGGTTTGGCAATTCTGTTATTGGGTTAACGGATAACCCAATAAGGATTAACGAATTTACTACTTTCCTCTTAAGTATATACATACTAGGGCTTCATTCTTTCCCTATTCTTTCTCAGCCTCAGCCCGTCAGCCGCATTCTTCAGAGTTCAGACGTCACCCTCTTCACTTCACTCTTCAGCCGCATTTCTCAACCGCATTCTTCAGCTTCATCTTCATTCTTCGTGTAAGTTTTTAGTTGCTTCATCTTCATCTTTGGTTGCCTACTTGCCTTCATCTTCATCTTCAGTTGATTCAATCTTCGTGTTGATTTTGAGGTAATCGTTTATTTTTGCCTGTTGATTCACTTCACTATTGTGTTGAGTCACTTCACTATTGGGTTATGCTTTGTTTATTTTTGCTTGATTCAATCTTCGTGTTGATTTTTGAGGGAATCGTTTATTTTTGCATGTTGATTCACTTCACTATTATGTTGATTCATTCACTATTGGATTTTTGTGTGAATCGTTTATTTATCTGTTTTATGCAACTATCTGTTTCGCTAAAATGACTTGAGGTCTGATTTTAGTTCTGCATAGTTTTTATCTCTAGCTTTTTCCTCTACTCTAACTGTTCTGTTCTGTTCTGTTACTTTTTTTTTCTTCGTTTGTTTTTGTCCTATTTGTTGGTGTCAAATTATTAACATAAAGTACCTCATTTAAAGATAAATCAGATTTAAGAATGAAATCACAGAGAAAGTAGAATCAGCTTTAAGAATTTAAACTCACTACTTGAACTACTAGTTAACTGTTTCTATTGTTTTATGTTGCAGATTTTAGTGTTGAACTAATAGTTGCAAAACAGCTTGTCTTTATACCTTTCTCAATTACAAATAAGCTGTTTTATAAAACTGTTTTAGCTTGCAAAAAAGTTGTTTTATAAAATTGTTTTAGCTCGGTACAAGAAACATTGTAAAATAATTTTATACCGATATAAAGCTGTTTATAAAACTGTTTTAGTTGTTTTATCTTATCGGGTAAACCGATAACCGAACCGATAATGATCGATAACCGATTAACCGATAACCGATGACCGATAACCAATATCTTATCGGTATGGTTATCGGTTTATCATATTTGTAAACCGATAATCGATATGCTAAACCGATAATATTCATAACCGAACCGAACCGACCGATGCCCATCCCTACTTCAAAGTTCAGCTTATTTTGAGAAGTATTTTTTTTAAGAGTGCTTTTCTCAAAAGTAATTTTGGTGAGAAATGGTTTGTGTTTGGCTACTTAATTTGAAAAGTACTTCCGAGCAATAAGTAGTGTTTGGCAAGCTTTTAAAAAGTACTTCTAAGTATATTTTTCTCAAAAGTGCTTTTCAAAAAAGTTCTTTTGGCGAGAAGTTATAATTTCTGATTCTCGTTCTACTCAAAAATACTTTTTTTCTTCTAACAACTTGTGTGATGTTGTTACCCTTCATTTTATAATGTATTGTATTGTATTGTATCGTTTTATGAATACAACGTTTGGATAGATCGTATTGTTTGCTCTTGTTAAATAACATTTTGCTGTTTGGTTTGACTGTATTGTACTGTACTGTAACGAATAAGTTTACTAAAATACCCCCAATTGTTAAAGTTATCATGAATTACGCATAAAAATAATTTGCGAAAACCTCTTTCTACTAATTTATCATCAAATATGTCTTTAACTGTCATTAGAAAAAAATAAAGAACTATGATAAAGAAAGGAACGAGAATTGGCGCAACAAAGGAACAAGATTGGAGTTAAAGTAATCAGAATTGGAGTTAAAATCACATTAGGCACATTAGGAGAAAAAAACGAAACAAAAAGAAGGCAAAATCTATACCTTTTACGTTGGAGTTGGAAGTGAGTTCTGGAAAAAAGATGACTAAGACAAATTAGGTTATAGGTTGGAGATTTGGAATTAAAATAAAAAAAGATAAAGGGTAAGATAGAATTATGGAGTAATAAATTAAGGCATAATTGGAAACAATCATCCGCACCAAATCGGTTATCTAAAAAAAAGAGACTTTTTATTATTCAGGAACAATGAATTTAACAATACAATACAATTAATTTTAAATACAATATGATACAATGGGTAACAACTATCCACACAATTTTTTTTTTTTTTTTTTTTTTTTACAAAAAGTGCTTTTGGATTTGGAGAAGCTCGGCAATAATAATGTGTGAATTAGGTGGGAGTGGTACAACTTTATAAAACTTTCCTCCCATAATGTCGCTGAAGAGAAGAGCGTGTATAAGATGGATTTTGATGCTAGCTTTGTGGTGTCTAAGATGAAGGGAAAACTACATTGCTAAATCTACAATTAAGAAGGTGAAATATTGAACTCTCTCTTTTTTTTTTTTTTTTTTTTTTTTTATCATTTCTATCACTCCCTAAATCTTCTACCAAAGCAGACAACATATCCTTGCAAGATATTCGATGAAATGCCGAAGTGAGATTTAAATGCCGATTGTTCATATAGTGTCGCTACTGAAAAGAAACAATGAAATTTAAGCTCTTGAAGACTTGTTTATTCATGCATTCTTTATAGATAATGAGCGTGATGTTGGAGTCTTTGGAAGATATGCATATTTAGGTGGCTTTTCGTGGATACTGAGAAGCGATACGGCTACAGGGTTGTACTCCATTGATAGTGGCGGATGTAGCTTATTAGTCATAGGTTCAATGAACCCAGAATTTCCAACACAAAACATGAATATATATATGTGTATGAACAAACACTAATTTTTTAAACGTATTATATTCTGTACCCATAATTTCAAAAGTATAGTAAGTTTAGTGCTAAGAAAGTTAAAGGCCGAAACCATCAAATTTAAATCTTTGATCTGCCTGATTGGTATCTCTCAAAGGTTATGTATGGGGTTGTTGCAGAAGAAGTGAACTCTGAAGATACTGCATTACCATTCGAGTATATTCGAACTCCTTAAGTCTGTGCTTTGTTGAAATGCTGGGAATAGGTTGTTATGGAGAGCGCACAAATATGATCAATCAGGTTGATGAAAATTGCAATTAACAGCAGAATTAATGATGTTTAAGCGAGAGTTGCTTGGAAAGAAGTGCTCTTATGGCAAGCTCATACTGATTCAGCTCTTTTCAAGGTCATGATTTCCTGGGATTTATGGTCCGACTTTAAGAGTGATATGAAGAACTGGTCATGGGAAGACATTGAGAAATCACTCTTCCTAATAAGTAATAACATAGAAAGACCAAAATTAATTGCAGAACAAAGTGTGGATTGATGGCCCCCAAGGCTTTGATCATAGTGGTAATAGCGCAACGCGTGATGTGTGGGTTTGACTCATGTCATGGGTTCGAAGCCTCTTGGGGATTTATAAGTTATTAAAAAAAGTGCGGACTGATGGCCGCCAAGGCTTTGGTCATAGTGGTAATAGCGCAACGCGTGATGTGTGAGTTTGACTCATGTCATGGGTTCGAAGCCTCTTGGGGATTTATAGGTTATAAAAAAAAAGTGCGGATTGATGGCCCCCAAGGCTTTGGTCATAGTGGTAATAGCGCAACGCGTGATGTGTGGGTTTGACTCATGTCATGGGTTCGAACCCTCTCGGGGATTTCTAGGTTATGAAAAAAAAAGAGTGTGGATTGATTGTTTTCTATCAGTGGAAACTTGAGATGTTATTGGAACAAGAAAGCAATAAGGTTGACGATGAGAATGTACGACCAATTTATGTGCCTTGTGAGCTATAGCATTGCTGCCCAATTAGAAGCCATCAATTATTGAATGTTTACTCCATATTCCACTCTTGAAGACAAGGGTGATATCAAGGCGAAGGATGCCATCAGTTGTTTCTATTATTCCAGTCTATTGCCCCTTCACTTTGAAAGATGAGTTAGGCAGTTGAAGAAACTGCACCTTTTTGGCAGAATACACAAATTGTTTGCGGTCAGTAGCTTGGGACAGGTACACGAGTGTGGTGCAAATGGATTTCACATTGGTGAAGTAGGTAAAATGCTTCTTTTACAAGTTATAGCATGGCTGAATTAAAAAGCACTCTTTGTGATAAGAATTCCTTCGTCTATGCTCTAGCCGAGGGTCTATCAGAAACAACCTCTCTGTCCACTTAGGGTAGGGGTAAGACCTGCATACATATTACCCTCCCTAGACTCCACTTGTGGGAACTCACTGGGTTTGTTGTTGTTGTTGGAATGGAAGAAAAGCCAGAGAAAGAGGAGTTAGAAGATTGTGAATCATTTGAAGTTGAAATATTACGTAGAAGTGGTCAACAACAATCAATGGAACTTGATGAATAACATGAAATGGAGATTTAAAAAGGCTTTCGTAGCTCTCTCTGGTGAGGTAAATAGTCCTGCTAGTCAAGAAGGGAAGCTTAGTGCCTTTTGTAGTAAGGCCAAGAAACAAAATAATATCAACATTGAAGATATCTTGATTGTTGACTGTGAATCTAACATCAAGTTAGTTAAGCCAATGGTGAACATTGACTTTGCTAGAAATTAAGACATGCTCGGTTATAGAATTGACATAACAGTTACTTCTCGGGGCATATACAGAATTATGGCAGCAAATTGTGAAGACATGGTTGGTCATATGACAGAGTCTAGGGTGTGATCATCTTGTTCATCAAAAGTTTCCATCTGATTTAGCACGAATTCCATTTGATCCGGGAAGAGATAATTCACCGTTTTCATACCCCTGAGGACAAGGGTGCTTTGAACTGATGGGCGTTGATACAAACAAATCTTGAAAGTTTTAAGATACAACAAGTGAAAATGGGCTAGAATTGGTGTATTTGAGAAGTTGTTAGTTTAGTTAGTTGGTAAGAGAAGTTATAAACTCTTGGTTAGTTACATGCCATGTGAAGCAGTTATCTCATTGGGACTCTCATGCTGTCTTCTATAAATCCTTTGTACAAACAGTTACACTTTAGTCAGTGAGTATACAATTTCCTTTGGATCATGATATAATCTCTTCCTCTTGAGCTGAATTCTTGGAATGTCATATTCCCTGAGCAGTTCTTTCCCTTCTCAAGCTATTGAGCTTCTGAAGTTTCTTCCCCATGTCTTCTTGTTCGTTTATTTGTATCAGCTACTAGTAACCAGGAATGACAATTCCAAGATTGCCTTTTGGAATATAGCATTTTTCTCTGTTGAAAGCAAGCTTTGGTGCATAACATCTCAAATCGTGCATTGCTTAGCTGTAATATGGTGGCGTGGGCTTCTATTTATCTCCAAGTCATTTGATGTATGCTTCCTTGAAAGACAGTGAAGTATCTTATTTGCTGCTCCTATTGGCACTTTGGTAGTTCTCTTTGATCTCTTCCTTTAATTCCAAAAGAATCTTGCTGAACTAAACGACATCAGTTTCTTTTTCAGGAAATCTTATATTCCTGAAACTTGAAGAGGAGCCTTGGCGTAACTGGTAAAGTTCTGCCATGCGACAAGGAGGTCATGGGTTCGAGCCGTGAAAACAGCCTCTTGCGGAATTGTAGGATAAGGCTGCGTACAATAGACCCTTATGGTCCGGCCCTTCCCCGGACCCGCGCATAGCGGGAGCTTAGTGCACCGGGCTGCCCTTTTTTTATATTCCTGAAACTTGATGCGTCAATAATCAAAAATACTTAGAAGGAGGAGATCTCTTTGTTTCTCTTCTGTTCCATTTAGCGTAAGAATCCTATAGGAACAGCAGTTTGCATGGCTTTCTCCGGATCAACTTGTCTTTAAGTATGAGTTGAAGTGGCATCAATTCATTCTTTTGTTTGCAAGCTGCTGATGCTTTTTATGTTTATAACAAGATTCAGTGTTCAAGTGTCATGTCAAGTATATAACTGATTAACTATTGGATTAGCTTTCCTATTTTCAACCGGCAGCATACATCTGGTTACTGTCATGCTGGGATGCAGAACTCTTGGAATTACAAAGACTAATCCATCTAGGATTTGTCTTTTTAATGAACTAACACTTTCTTTGACGTCTTACAGATTGTCACTGACTTCTGCTGCTTAAAATCTTATACTCATGTTTATGCTATTACCGCAAGGTACCATATGGATTACGAAAAACCCTGAAGGTAAGGGTGAAATTCTTAGTAAGTACTCGTTGCACAGTGTCTGGCGTGCAATAAGATTCTGAGATAATGTGAATTTCTTACATGGAATGCTGCTTATATATTTTAATGTAGTCTATTTCACAAGGAAGCTTTTGGCCTGCTCAATAGCTTTTCTACGGTTCTGACAACAGGGTGGTCCCTTTATGTTTTTTCTCCACCTATTTTTTACTCTCTGTTCTAAATAAATGAGGGATCACAATTTTTAATTTAAAGGCAAGGTGCTCTTTGTCCATCTTTTATTCAAAATTGTATTTCACGAATTTGTCTTGTGTTACGTCTCTAGTTTTATCTATCTGGTGAACTTTGCCTTAAGATAGAGTCTAACCTGCTTAATTTTCAGGAAATCGATCTTTTTAGTTGCAACGTTGTATGCATCTATGAATGGAGCGGGAAAAGATAATTATGAACTGAGGTCTGGTACTATGAAAGGTAACAATAGATGCCAATCTAATATAATTAGTAAGTATATTTTAGGGATGAACCAGTGTATGAGAGGATGGTAACCATTTAAGTACGAAGAAAATCGTATTGGAAATAAAACTTTTTTGTGTGACTACTTTATAAACAAGACAATGACCTGTACTTACAGTTCACTTGACTGGAAAACATGGATCCTGCCGGCACGAAGACTGGACGAAATAAGAAGAGAATTTAGAGATGATTTCTAGGAGAGTTGTGCGGATTATTAAAAGTCTTTATTGTGATTTGCATGTGGAGAAAAGGTCTTAATTGTTGTTCCGAGCCTTTCTGAAGATGGAGAAATCGATGAAATGAAATTTTGGACAGATCTGGTGATGGTGACAGATGGTGTGAGAAAGGACAACAAAGTGTACTAAGCTCCCGCTATGCGCGGGGTCCGGGAAAGGACCGGACCACAAGGGTCTATTGTACACAGCCTTATTCTGCATGTCTGTAAGAGACTGTTTCCACTGCTCAAACCCATGATCTCCTGGTCACATGGCAGCAACTTTACCAGTTATGCCAAGGCTCCCCTTCAGATGGTGTGAGAAAGGCTTACAAAATATGTGCATACACGTTTCTTTGTATTTGTGAAGCAAGGTAAGTACAGAAATAGACATAAAAGTAGGCCATTCGGACATTTTTCTCCCTTGACATTATTGAATGACCTTGGTTTTATAGTCTAAAGGTTATAACATGGTGCATTATTTTACCATTTGTGTTGAACAAGGAGAAATGCTAGATTAAAGAGAAACTAGTGGGCAAGAAATGACCTAAAGAAGAAGGAGAACTATGAAGATGCTGAGAATGTTCTCCCCAGACAATGTAGTTGGTTTGGTGGAGGAACAGAAGTGAGAGACTGTGAGGATGAGAAGTGGAAATAACAAACCATTGCACTAATTTTGAGGACTTGGAGCCTAACAGGAGAGAAGAAAGAAAAGTTGGACTCATAGCTTTATCCTTTCATCAGTTTAGCAAATTATACCTATTAGCAAAAGGGAAAGATACAGAATACTCCCTCTGGTTCAAAATGAATATCCACTTAACCTTTTTTTTTTGGTTCAAAATAAGTGTCCACTTATCAAATCAAGAAAGAATTAACCTTATTTTTCCAGAATTGCCCTTATTTACATATCCCTAGAAGTCTTTTAAATTACTCCAATTTTCTATGATATCGTTAAATTGGTTCAGCATTTGGTTATTCGAAGTTTGACTGCCATTCAAAATTTTGCCATTCCACGTTTATTTACAGATTCCGAGTTTGGTTCACTTATGATTTGGTCTAGGCATTTAAAATATATTCAAGGCATCTAAATATATGGAAATTTTAATTAGGGGTAGTTTAGTCAAATTACCTTTTTCTTTTCTTTATAGGAGTTAGTATTTTCTTAAGGGGTGTGCAAATGACTTATTTTGAACTGGAGGGAGTAATAAACAAAAACAAAAGGAAAGTGAAGATGAAGAAGTTATGGTGAATTTAATTAGCAAACTTCAGAAGCAGTGTGCAACTCTGGTAGTGAACAAAAACTAGTTTTTTGTAACAAACTTGTACACTGTGATCAATTTTGTGGATCCAAATGTTGCATTGTCAGTATTTACATTAAGGAAAATAAATATTCACCCTCACAGCTAAACTGTTGTTTCACTGCTAGGTGATCAACTGGCTAATATCAGTCAATTATGGCCTGTAATATACTTTCAGGTGCACGGGCATGAAAGGAAATTTGTTGAAAGTTGTTTCGATGACAGGATAACAACAAAAAGCAGATCATAGTTCATCCCTAGGACTATGTAGCTTGAGAGTTTGAATAGATTTTATTTTGTGAATGTCTGCTATCAATCTGAGGTTTGTTCTTTTGTAATATGTTAAAACCTGGAAAGAAAGTAGAAAAACGCATGGAGCATTTGCTCATATAAATCCTTTTCTTTTGGAAGTTTCCAGCAAGTAAGAAGAGGATACTGAGATATACCTGAACTTACCTGAGTGTACAGAAGATGAATAGAAGAAAAGCAGCATACTCAATCCATTGTAGAGTTGCTCTTTTCAGAGAACTGCCAAAAGGATCTGAACTACCCCCTCTGTTCCAGTTTATGTGAACCTATTTCCTTTTTGGTCCGTTCCAAAAAGAATGAACCATTTCTATATTTGGTAACAATTTAGCTTAAACTTACAACTCTACCCTTAATGAGAAACTTTTATAACCACACAAATACTCTGGGCCCCATTTGGACTTGTTTAGGACCACAAATTCCAAAAGTCTTCATTTTTTTCTTAAACTCTGTGCCCAGTCAAACAGGTTCACATAAATTGGAACGGAGGGAGTAGGAAATTCTTATGCTTCTGACTATATTTTTTAAAATCTATCAACTACTTGCTAAAGTCGGAGTTATGTGCTGTACATGCCTGACTGATGAATTATTGCAAGAAGAAGACGGAGAAGAGAATTTGGAAGCTGCTATTGACAATGTCATATCTTTCTGTTTTAGCCTTTTGAGGGATATGTTCCTACCGTGGAAACAACCGCTTGGTTGTTTTCCCTTCTGTTTGTGCAATGCACAACTGCAGTTTTTATGGTAAGGCCGTCTCTCAATATCCATGTCTGACATTGACAAGCTTCCATAAAAGACACACTGTAGCATCATTTTAGCTACTCCACTGGCCATTTTCTTCTCTCTTCTTCCCTGCTATAAAAGGTATCTAAAAGTGTTTGGCTACAGGTAATGTGCTTCTGTGTGTATCAGAGGTTCAAGGAAGTTTGATTCTCTTGAAATTCTGTCTTTTTAAGGGTTTATATAGAGCTAACAAGCATTGATTTATGTGTGCAACTTTGGGAATTGGGTAGAATCAACGTTAAAAAATGGTTGTTTTCTGCTTCTATAGAATTCAAGAATTTTTAGTAACGATGTTCTTGTGCATGTAGTTATCTTATGATCAATGAAACAGGCGTTTTTTCCTATGATTCTTTTGTCCAGGCTGCAGTCTTGGCATATGTTTGCACGTACTGGTTTGTTTTATATATGTACTTTTATGTGTGTGTGTTGTGTAGAGGAACGACTGAAATACTTACATGCTTTTATTGTCTTTTGCTGGTGGTTAGCATTGCTCCTATAAGTCATGAGAATTTTGTGGGATTCTTCTTGTTATTGTAGTTCTCTTGTGATTCCCTCAATATAAGTGTTTTCTCCTAGGAGTTCTCTTCCCTTGACTCTGGGACAAACTTCTTTCTCAGACATACACACGCGAGGAGGGGGGGGGGGGGGGGGATAAAGAGAGAGAATCTTAGTATTTTAATAGTATATTTGATCTGATAGCTTAGTTTTTCTGGGTTTGTACTTTGCAATTTGCATACATACTGGTGTCTTGACTTAAGTAACTTTTTTTGGAAAAGTTCTCTTATATGCTTTTATTCTTGATACTTGGATGTGTCAATTACAATAGGAAACAAGAAAAGTAATCATACGCTAATAATTGGATTTATCATTTTTTTTAAATTACTGAATAATATAGTTGAAGTTTGATACCAGTCAAGCACGTGCAGGTTCGTTTGTCCTACTTTCATCTGGAAATGACTGTTTTATTAGCAACTTGTGCTAAATATGCAACAAAATTTTATTCCCTTCTACTCATTTTGTGGAGATCCGATATAACTTCTGTTGTCCAATTTGCCTAAGAAGTAGGGGTGTCAATGGATATTTAAAAACGGACTAAACCGATCAAACTGTACCGTACCGAATCGATTTTTAGGTTTTCTTTAATAAAATCGTAGGTTTTTATATAAATCTATAACGGTGCCGATAATTAGGGTAGGTTTTTATTTTATAAAAATAAATCGAAAAAATACCGAACCGTACCGAATAAATTTACAATATGAAAAATATATTTATATATTAAGTTTAAAATAATAAAGCATTAAATTTTTTCTTAGGCTTTGGAATTATAAGCAGTTACAAGCCAACAAATAATTAAACTCAAAATCATAATTCCCAAATCTATTATGCTACTCCTATTGAAACTAAATTATTTCTAGCATATTCACTAGCAAGACATAAGGTATTGTATCGATTATGAGTAGCAAACTACAAGTATTGAATATGTTTCCTATCGTATGCTTTAGATTTATCTTTTTGAATTTTTGATATTCTATAGACTTTATTCTTGAATCCTAGCTTGGTTAATATCTTTTCACTCGTGTGATTTATACTTTTTTTGTATTTGTTTAGTTTTTTTTATGTTGATGTAGAATAGTTGATGGATCTATACTTTAGCCATCTTTCATATTTTCTTAATTTATCACCTTTTAAACTGTAAAAGTATCTGTAGAATTTTTCCAAGTCCTATAAAAGTATGTATGTTATTGCATTCTACTTCTACTAGTAATTTTTACATGATATTATAAAAAATTACCGAAAATTTACCAAACCGTACCGATACCGAAGAGAAACCGACATGATTGGAACGGTTTCGAAAAATCTAATTTTGGTTATACATAATAGAATAACCGAAAAACTGATATGGTATAAATTTTATAAAATAACCGGCCGAACCGAACCATTTACACCCCTATTGAGAAGTGTCCAAGTTTGAGTACACTAATCGTAAGACCGTAGTAACTCATACATAGTGATTTACTTGGATCAATTCATTTCATGAGAATATTTATAGAAAGTGGTATTGATATTGTAGTTTTATTGTCTCTTTTGTAGTTTTGTCATCTCTGTTCGCTCTTATTTTTTCTGTTGAACATTACAAACCTTCCATTGCCATTCATTTTCACTAATACTAGGTGGTTTCCTACAACTTTAATCGTTAGTTCAAAAGGGCAGCCTAGTGCACTAAGCTCTCGCTGTGCGCGGGATCCGGGGAAAAGTCGGACCACAAGGGTCTATTATTAGGTTAATTGCATTTTGATTACTCGCTTACTTCAGAATGATGCTGTAGAGTCAAGGAGCTGCCTCAGCACGAGACAATCAAACTAGTTCAGGGAATAACTTCAGGATGACTAGCTAAACGCGAAAAAACACATTAACAATAACAACAACAAATCCAGTAGTATCCTACAAGTGGGGTCCGGGGAGGGTAAGATGTACGCAGCCTTACCCCTACCTCTGGAAGGGCAGAGAGGCTGTTTCCGATAGACCCTCGGCTAGAGAACGACCGAAAAAGAAAAGGTAATTGCAACAAGTAGGAAAAAACAGATTATAGAGAGAAAAAGCAGTAGAGTCGTATTTCATTTCACTGATATAAAAATGGTAAAATTATGGTTTTTATCTCTGTTTTAAAAGGCAGAATTGGGACTCGCCCGGGGCTCGCTCCGGGGCAGAGCACTCGTAAAACGCCCCTGGGCTTATGTGTGGGGCTTAGTTCTGTGAAACTTACGCCTCGTCCATTGAGGCTTACGCTCCGGACACACCCAACGCCCAGCGTACTGGGCTCGCCTAATATAACTTTATGCAATTGTATGTACTAACCTTGTAAATCCTCAAATTTTCTTAATAAATCATCGACTATTTAACATTACTTTTTTCTTAATCATATATCATTAAGTTGAGAGTATTTTATGTCATAATTAAAATAAAAATTATTGCACGTTATCCAGTAAGACTACTATGATAGTTAATTTTATATAAATCTTTCATTTAAAAAGTATTTATTTATTAACTTTTGTTATGTCTTTACTATATAATAGTCCATAATTTTTTTATAATTATTTT